GGGTAGTACAACGCCTATCTCTTCAAGATGGGTCTACACAACATACCAACATGCAAATACTGCCCGGATAAAATCGACGACGCCGAACACACATTCTTTGAGTGTGCGCGATGAAAGGACTACAGAACAAGCACCGAAGCGATCATAGGCACCAGGCTCTCGCCCTCAAGCCTGGTGACCTATATGATCAAACAAGAGGAAAACTGGTCAGCTGTTGCAGCTTATGCACAGCAGCTCCTGAAAGACAAAATCGCAGAAAGAGACCAGTAGCCAGGAGTAGGCGTCGTGAGACGCAGCACGGCTGGATTGAAGTAATGCTAACGCGGTTCCAATCCAGTCCTCCCCGTACCATCTAGGGGAGAGGGGAAGAGGAATGTTTTTTTTTAGTGGGTAAAAATCTCCACACTACCGACTATCGATATCTGCCGTAAGATGGGCGGCAGAGTTAACGATAGCAGTGTCTTTTGAAGATCTTTTTCGTACCTCTTTGTAAAAAAAAAAAAAAAAAAAAAATACACACACACACACACATACACACACACACATACATACATACAGACCTACGGACATCATCGTAAAAATAGTCAGAGATGCTACTTAGGGCTTCAAAATGTCGAGATCTTTTTAAACCTGGATTTTTGCAAAACGGGGTAAAAACAATAACTTCCTGATTTTCCGAAAATCTCCGATTTTCTTAGCGGGAAGTCAAAAATCAAAATCCCAAAAGTAATACCGATAAAAAATAACCAGACTTCACGTTTTCTTTGTTAGGCGTACATAAAACGTCGAAATTTAGTTATAATCTCAATGATATGAAGAAAAATCGCTCAGGAATTTTTATTCGTCATAAATTAAGGTTTTTTAAAAAACTGGTTAAAAACGTTAACGCTACTGGAGAAAAACAAAGAATATTAAATTTAGCGGTACTTACTCTTTGATATCAGATTTTTTTGCTACACGACAATAAACTCCACGATCCATTAAACATTTACCGCTAATTGGATCAGGTGGTGCCAAGTTAATGTATGGTGATTCTTCAAGAAATGTAATTCTGAGATAAAATTTTTCAGGAACACCATGAGGGGGTGTATGAGAATTTCCAGGCCATACAATATCTTTTATATCAAGTCCATCTTTTTGCCAAGATTTCCAGACACCAATCTAGAAAACAATTTCATTTCTTTAATGTAAATTGTTAAATGCTACAGATCATAAAAATTGTGGCACGTGTTCTCTAAGAAAGAAAAACATTAGATCATAAAGTTCTTTCATAATGGGGCTGTTCATAAACTACGTAAACATAATTTGGTGCATTTTACAACCCCTCTCCTCATGATAAGTATTAGTAAGATTTTGAACTGATGCATCCACCCCCTTCTGAAATCTTACGTAAGATATACATCAATTTTGGGCTTTAAATAAGTTAAAAAATATTTTTAATTTTTAACAAATGCCATTGAAACGTAGTAGATTTAATGGGAACGCTATGAAGTACGTAGCTTCCTATTTAGAGAATTTATCAATTGATAAATTAAATCTTAGATTCTATCCATTCACCGTACGATTTAAAATGTGAGTTTTGCCTGGCTCCAGAGACTCGGTTACTTATAAAATTTAAGAATAAATACCTCGAATGGGCTGTACAAACTAATAAAACCAACACCAATACTTATGTATAGCTTAATTAGGACTTCGAGTAGGCATTGCTTCTCCTGGTGAACTGAAACACGTGGCCTCTGGTACATGTTCCGGTGAATCCACCTCAAACCGCGTACTGGGAGTGGGATGTAATGGCAAGATGCAAATAACTGATTGACTTATTCGTTGGATAATTTATTTATTAACTATTAAATAAATTATTTTAACCACTGATGCCTAACTTGGCAACATTTACACCAGAGTTGCAAAACATGCATTACTTTAGTTAATGTATTGGCGTTTCATTACTCATTACTATATTAATGAGTAATGAAATCAATTACCATTACACTGGTCTACAGTGGTTTTGTTGCCCTTAGAAAAGAGATTAATCTTTTTTTAATCAAGTAGACACACAAAAAACAAATTTCTTACGCTAAGAAAATTTAAAGGAAAACAAAATTTATTTTGGAGCAAAAAGAAATTTTCGTGGCTCAAGAAAATTTTCTTAGCTCAAGGACCTGTGACTTCATTCAAGAAATTTTCAACCTTCCTTATTATTTCCTTAAGGAGACCCGGTGGTCTAGCGGCCTAAAACTTGAGCTATTTTAAGAAATTTTGTTTCTATATGAAAGTAATGACTAATGCTTTCAAATTTTAATTACACTTATTCTATTACTTATCAACTACACGAAAATGAAAATCAAAACAAAAAAAAATGTTTTTCAAATTAGAAAAATGGTGCTGAAGTCCCCCTCTCCAAAAAAATGGACCTTACTGGCGCAGGTCGATTGACGTCTCCCTCTGATCTGAAATAAAAAAAAAAGACAGATTTTAAATTAGTATAAGTATAGTTATCGTCGGAACTAGAATGAAAAAAAATATTTGACAAAATAGCGCGTAGTTAAAAGAATTTTTTGAAAACAAGTTTCAGATTTGTACTTTTAACTACCCGTCATGTTGTCAAATATTTTTTTTTTTTTCATTCGAGTTCCGGCGATAACTATACTGATCTAACTATACTTATACTAATTAAAAATCTGTCTTTTTTTTTTATTTCAGAGCAGAGGGAGAGGTCAATCGACCTGCGCCAGTAAGGTCCATTTTTTTTGGAGAGGAGACTTCAGCGCCATTTTTCTAATTTAAAAAAAATTTATAAATTCCCGCTAAAAATCTCAGATTTTCAAAAATCAGGAAGTTATTGTTTTCACCCCGTTTTGCAAAAATCGAGTTTTCATCAGATCTCAACGTTTAAAGGTCACAGGAAGCTTCCCTGACCACCCCCGCGAAGTTGTCACTATGTCTGTATGTATGTATGTATGTATGTGTGTGTGTGTGTGTGTTGGGGAAAGTATGTGAACCACTTATAACTTTTAAACGGCTTGACCGATTTAATCGCGGTTGACGCCATTCGAAAGGGCATAACCAAACTTAGATTTCCTGAAAATTTGAACCGATTCGGACCGATAGATTTTGAGAAATCGTAAAAAAACTACAAAAAAAAAATTTTT